GGTGCACCGTGTGAAGGAAAGTTCATAATCACAACACATGGTAAGAGCATTATGGCTGTAGAAAGTAAATGATAAAGCTGTTTGTTTTTGAGAAGTTTGGGGCAGTAATGCAACGCTTTGGATATGGCTGCCGTAAAACCTCAAAGAAGAAGATGGGTGTACGTAATCCAGACACACTTCTTTTTTATCTGCTTTGCCAATAAACAAACCTCCAGTGGTGGTGAAAAAACTGTGGTGAATGAAAAATGTGTGGCAGGAATTAAACAGTGGATGTGTATAATATATCACTATTCTGTCCTGGATAATACGTGAGCTGTATTTGTAGACAGATAGCTAACAAGAAAGACACGATTTACTGAAATCTTCTGAGACTTTTTTGTAAAACTGCCACACAATGAAAATACACATAATGTTACGATTGAAATTAAATATATGTAACAACACTGGTCACACTTTCTTCTTTCTTTTCAGGTTATAAAGTAGGTAAGTACAACACAATACATGAGGCATACACACATCTTTTTACAGTATGCTCTTACAGGCAAGTAACAGCGTAAACACAGTAAATGGTGATAATAGTTCACACATAAACATAACATATAACATGAACGAGGCCTGAATTGAATCCACCTATGCTAATAGCTACGAACCTGTTAGCATTAGCATTGTAAGCACTATTTTACCAACTAAAAAGGGTTTTTAACTCTAATGCACTTTCAACAACTTAAATGAGCTAACAGCAGCCATACTTACTGATGGATCTACTCCAAGGCCGAGACAACACCACTCCGTGGTGGAGCACAGCCTGCTTGTGTTATGTGTGTTAGTGCAGTCAGACTTTTCCAGGCGCAAAACCCTGACATGGCACTAGGGGGCCACTAAACATTATTAAGACACTGACAGGAGTCAGAACAATCACGTCACAGCATTGCTACTGAGACTGTAATAGAATGTTACCAGGAAACCTGTACAGAGCCTGTTTTTTTCAAAATAAAACCCCCAGATGGTTACAGGATGTTCCCAGGGAGCCGGAAAAAGAGTGGATTTTCAAAACAAAACTCCTAAATAGTTACAGAATGTTCCCAGGAAGCCTGAAAGACGCTGGATTTTCAAAATGAAAACCCCAAATAGTTACAGAATATTCCCAGGAAGCCTAAAAGATGCTGGATTTTCAAAATAAAAACCTTAAAGGAAATGTCTCTCTGTTTGGAACGGCGTCAGAGACGACAAGGCACCTATTCAAAATTTCTCAGGGAGGAATTTTCTCGTTTGCTGTTGCTATACTTCATGTTCCATTCATACTTAAAAAATGGTTGTTGAACACATTTTTACACATTTCAAACATCTATACTTTTATAACATCTTTTTTATACATTTCAAACATTTGTGCTTTTTTGAACTCATCACATTTTCTTTTTTAACACCTCACATTACCACAATCGCACCCCCCCTGAATAACTCTGGTGCCCCACACTTTGAAAAGCCCTGCTATAAATGATACTTACCTGGTCAGATATTGACGAGGAAAAGATAAAAACTAAGCCACACCAGTTTTGGTGAGTTTTATGTTTACTTCATTACATTTTTACTGTGTAGTTCTTTTTTTTCTGGCGGAGAGCTAATGCTAAAAACTTAGTTGTTTACAATGAAATGCTTTGTCATAAACTGTTAACCAGTTAATAGTTTGGGTTTATGATTACTGTGAATGTTATAAGAGTGTATGTATGCTGTGTAAATGGAAAATGTGTTCAGTAGTTTGTGTGGGAGCCTGAGCCTGTAACGACCTCAGAAATGAATGCTGGTGGCCTCAAATGCACAACTCCAATGCAGGCAGTGAATATAACAAAGGTTTCTTTTTTTAATCAAAAAGGTGCATAAACAAAATGCGCTCTCTTGGCTGATCAAAAAGTAACGAAACAAAACACTTGCAAAACTATGAGTCAAACAAAGATTATAAACTTTAAGAAGCACACAAACTTGGCTTGGCGGCAAACCTGTCTTAACTCTCGTGGACAGAACAAGATGAACTGTCACAGGACAAAGGGAGACGAGGACTATTTATACATGAGGAAGGGGAAAACAGGTGAAACCAATCAGGGGCAGGGAAGACGATCCCCGAGGCGGGAAAATCACACAAAGGGAGGAAGTCAGGGTCTGAAACGAGAGGGAAAGGTGAGTACAAAATAAACAGGAAGTGCTTGACATGAGTGAAGTTTTATTTAACATAGAGTGCTCAAAACACATAAGACTAAACATGAACTAAACACAGGCATGACATAACTTTAAACATGAACATTGTTGGGACCTGGTATCGGTGAACCATAGTTGGGCCTACATGTGTAGTCAAAAGCCGGACCACATGCTTCCTTTGTTCTGAATACAAAGGAGAGCTTCCAGAACTCAGTCTCCCAGGGTGCTTCATCTTCACACATAGGTGGTAAAACTGCTCCTGGAGACAACTCTCTACCACTATTGGTCACTGTGCCTCATGANAAAGCATTGAAAGAAAGGCAACAACTCTGGCTCTCCTCCTTTAACCAGAGGCATTACAATATGTTGAAAGATTAATAGTGTGCCTATATAAATTCATGTCATTGCCCCTTTAAGGGCTTAGTCGCAGCACCTCAGTGACGCTGCTGGAGCAGAGACCTGAGGGAGAAATCAAAGGGGAGATCGGAGAGAATGAGCGGTGATCAATTAGCAGAAGAAAAACTGTGAACAAGTTGATTTAGAACCTGCAAACGATACTTA